CTCCTGGGGCCCCTGATTGCTCCTCCACCTGCCTGCCTGATGCCCCTAACTGCTCCTCTGCCTGCCTGCCTGCTGCCCCTAACTGCTCCTCTGCCTGCCTGCCTGCTGCCCCTAACTGCTCCTCTGCCTGCCTGCCTGCTGACACTATTTGCTCCTCTGCCTGCCTGCCTGCTGCCCCTAACTGCTCCTCTGCCTGCCAGCCTGATCCCCCTAACTGCCTCTGCCTCAGCCCCACCACCCTGGCTTTGTCCAGGACACTGGGAAGATGTCTAGTCTAATTAGCATATCACCCTTTTATTAATGGTGCTTAGCAGAAAATCTTGTATGGGGCTGGTGTTAAAAAAATTACTGTTCACTACATAATTATAATGCTGATCAATGAGGAATGACAGCATATTTTCCTCAGCCAGGAATGATTAAAGTGGACAGAAGCTCATAAGCCAGGGCAAGTTTTGTCCTAAAAAGGGTATTTCCAAAGCACACACCTAACCTAAGAAATAAATACAGTACTGCATTCTGCCTAAAAGGAGTGTTTGTTAGTTTTCTTATTTCCTCACATGCTGTAAAGTTAAATTTGCAGCTTCCAAATTAAGCATTTTTAAAGCACTTTTCATCCTATTCCTGTAACTAATTCCATGGTGAGAATTTTCAAGTTTCTCGAATTAAAAAAAGTTCCATTGGTGTTGCAACCCTTTATAAAACAGAAACCCAGGACCAAATCAGAAGGGTGAATTACAGCAAACAAGTTCACTGCAACCAGGATGTTTTAAACTGACCAGTGTTTCATCCAGTTTTTTTTAAAATTAACTTAGATGGGGAAAACAAGACCCACATTTTACCATTCCACAAGTTCACTGCAACCAGGATGTTTTAAACTGACCAGTGTTTCATCCAGTTTTTTTTAAAATTAACTTAGATGGGGAAAACAAGACCCACATTTTACCATTCCACAAGTTCACTGCAACCAGGATGTTTTAAACTGACCAGTGTTTCATCCAGTTTTTTTTAAAATTAACTTAGATGGGGAAAACAAGACCCACATTTTACCATTCCACTAAGTAGCATTCTTTTACTGGTTTCAGCAAAGGGCAATTACTCACTGAAACATGATTTGATCACATTTAAATACTGTGTGCTGCAATGACTTCTTCC